ATCTAAGAATATAATAATATTTATGTAATGTAGAACGTAATGGTAAAGTTTAGCGGAGAAGGAGGATGAAGTGGGAAAAGGGAGGAAGAGAGACATAGCAAAGGAGAGAGACGGAGAGAATGAATTTACAACAGATTTCTTGATTGCATCTCACGGAGAATAAGCTGTATCGTATTATACACACATTTGTTATAAAAGTTGACTTATCATTATTTAAAGAGTTCTCATGAATTTTGTAGTAAAAATTTTGGTCATTTGCTTCTAAATAATCACACATTTGAGTTGCTATAAAAGGTACATTGCATAGTTTACATTTATAGTTTATTCATAGTTTACAATTGATGATAAACTCGATTAAATTTAAAATCACTGATTTGTTTGTTGTTGTTAAAAGAATTAATGTCCAAGTATATATTTTGGTAGTTGACAAATACAATTGTAGCATCGAATTTCATTATTTAGTAATTGATTTGATAAAAATTGACACAAAATATACTTTCCAATTTCAATTCAGTCATAGACTTCAAACTATATAATTATATCAGTATATATCAATATCTAACATTCAGCTGTTATATTCGTGTCCTCCTGGTTCCTACACGTATTTTTCACATCTATAGGCTGTTATTGGAGGAGTGGAGGTAATGTCCATGCTGGGTCTTGTCTTGCATGGAAGATTGAAAATGATGACACTACAGCCATTTTTGAAATTTGATTTGACAGGGTTTTGGCGGTTACGTTTGCGTTAGCCATTTTGATTAGTGATTTAAGTGACTGAAAGTTGTGGTTAGTTAGTAGACCGCGACTCCCGACTTCGAATGCTATAAGGGATACATCAAAATTGCGGGCCGAAATGTCATGAATCAGGGGGGCATATTTATTACATTTATACTCATGGGCCTTGGAAATATTAAGGTCGAATGGGACAGTTAGTTCAAAGATGAGCAGTTTCTTTTCGTTGGGCCAGTAGAGAACTAGATCGGGTCGGTCAGTTGTTGGTATTACTTCTCGTGGGATAGTTGAGGATGCATGGGCATTGGGCTGATTGAGATCTACTATTATATTTCAATACATGTATATGTATCGTAAACCTGGTTCTTAAATATTATATGTTGGAATAGAATTGAAATACTGTGTTTCCCTTTAAGAAGAAGTGTTAACCTATAAACTTTGGAGGGTAGCACCTGACAGATAGTTGGCATGACGAGATCACAAAAAGAGGAAGGAAAAGAGGGAAAACCCGAACGCACCTACTAATACAATACACACAAACCACATCTGGTAACAATTATAATGTCAAGAATTTTATTGCCATATTTATCAATTGACACCCAATCCAACAAAATGACAAAGCTGCTTTTGAAGGGGCCATTTTCAGCAATCAAAAATGTAGGAAATATTTACATCTTATTAAATATCGCCCTTATCAACTTTTCATGAATATTATACAAACACATGTCTAAATCATCACAATTTATTCTTAAGGTTTCATGGTGTATAATGAACACAAGTAAACACTTTGTTCCTTTTAAATAACCTTACATTGAAACATTACTAATATTTCAAATTAAAGAAAAAAATAAAATCTACATGTATGCATCTTGAAATGAGGTGTTGAAATGTTGATACTACTCAGTTTAGATCTCATGAGTTTATGTTATGAAAGCAACTCTAATGTGCTTTCATTTGGCAAGTGTCATGATCATAAACTGATCATAAATTGATCATGAGTTTAGGACTGAACAAATATGAGAGTGAAGAGTTCAAGTCTGTGTCAACAAATGATTTCCAGAAGATACACAAATGTGAGAGATTCACCAACAGGTCTTGCCATTAATCACATTTTCAAATCTACCAACTTTTGTATAAGTGGTACTCATATGTATATTACACAAGGTACACTACTCATCAAAAAAGGAAATTAAAAAAACATAAATTCTGAAAATAGAACTTATTTAACTAATTAGTGAAGGAGTTACACAAATGTGGTTCAAAACCAATTTTGGCACCTATCTATGACATTTTTACGTTTATAATTTTATTTGATAAATAGTGTATAAAAGTGTGAGACAGACAAAATTCATCGAATAGATCGAATGACTAGAAAAAAAACTGTTCACATGAAAGGAACCCATACATGAATTGTTGACATCGATTTAGAACAGAAATTGTTCACTTATTGCTGCCATAGCAATTTTCAAATAAATATTTAACATTGTATCCATAATTTCACTACACATTTAATAAATCTTCTCTGTGACATTATAAAAAAAAATACAAGTTTATCATTACATAGCTCCTTACTGACATAAGAACACAAGTATATACTTCCAAATGAAACATTATAAAATACATGGCATTGATATAGTGTAATTCTCAATCTAATCATTACAGTTTATAATGCTTCTTGTGTTTCTACATTAATGTTTTGCTTAAATTACTGATTACTTTAAATAAAATAACCAAAAATGTACAAAATATATTGTATTGAATATCACATTTGTACAGAAAGAGATAAGAAATAGTAGAATTGAAGTGAAGTCTTCAATAAACTAAGATTGAAACCAAGAATCAAGGCAAGACATGTGATAATGTATAATGCACACTGGCACAGGTGATTTACATAATAGTCACTGAATCGGAGTGCGCACGTATGACATACATAATTATAGTACTTTTCCATTATAACAGAGAACTCAGTGTACATTTTCTTGTATATATAGCACTAACATGAGATTACAAATTAAGTCGTAGCTTGTAAATACAAAGTCATAGGTTTGATTCTTTTCCTCGACACATTTTCATTTATTTTAAATTCTTTTATTTCATTTTATTTATAGCATGAGTGTACCTGTATTTGACAAAATCCACTGAAAAAACAAGTTCTACAAATTAAAAGTTAAACCAGCATGTTTGTTTTCAAGAATAAATATTTCCCTTATGATTTATATCTTACTGAGGCACTTTCTTCTGTTATCTCAGTAAAATTTCAAATTACTTGACAGTAAAACATAAGTTATGTGCTACTGAAAAATAGGAGGATCATGTATTACACTCAGGAAGACACTGCACAGTGCTTGATATGTGCACTACTGTGCTTAGAGCATTGTGATGGAACACTCAATCAATGGAATTAGTTTCTGTTGGTTGCGCATTAAAGCCCCACTGTACTACTTGTAGCTACTTGCTCCCTCTATATAGAAAACAATGCCTAACCCTTACTGTACTGGGCTATTTCGAGCACTCTCTGACTGGGGGGGGGGGGGGGGGGCCTGGGAGGCCCCCCCCCCCTATGATCTCGGCCGTCGAATGTCTGATGACCGCGAAAATTTGCATGTTTGTAGATATTTACGTAAGGAACAAGATCGTATAATTAATTTTTTCCTATTATGCAAATTTTTGTCGTTATAGCCTAATTAATTATGCAAAATGCTAATTTTATGCATTTTACAGAAAACTCTACATATTTGTCCATAGACTTGTGAAGAATCTTGAAAATGTATTGAATAAATGTTTCCTTCATCTCAAATTCATGAGGTTTCATTATTTTTATGATATTTGAAAATGCATAGGTTAATTTGCATAAATTATGAATACGCATTCATGAATATCAAATCTGGAAATATATTTAGGGAATTAAAATCATTACATAAATTGTCAGACTCCACTTTTTGAATGTTGAAACTCATCATTCATATGAAACTTCTTTTCTAACAAAATATAGTTATTTGATGTAATTAATAATGATAATTTATGCAAATTTGATGCGATTTTCAACTATTTATTTTCTTATGTATTTTATTGTTTTTTATTTCTTATTATATCTATTGTTTTATTTCTAATGTATTCTTTTGTTCTGAAATACACCAAGTTACTTTGAGAAACATATAAAAGCAATTTGATATCAATTCATAGCTCCCACTTGGAAGAAATACATCTAGACCTGTATTCACATTTCTGGTTGTACATGAATATATGCAATTATAGCACTTTTTTTATGACATGCGCATACTAATTGTTATGTAACACCTTACAGGTATATCCGATTTCGACAAAAATGGTATCAAAATGTGCGTAAGACTTGAGGGAAAAAAGTCATGAAACGACAATTCAAAATTCCGAGCGGTTGCGGCGCAATCTCCGAAAATGTCGAGGGGGGGGTCTCTCAGGCCCCCCCCCCCCCAAGTACAGTAAGGGCTAAGCGGTGCCCATTGGTCCCCCGTGATCCTCTTTTTTCTTATGTTAATTGAGAGCTGAGTTGATGAGATAGCCACCTGTCAGTGACCACGCTGGGTGGTCTAATCCCTCCTGGCCAAACTAGTACAGTCATGCTTTAAAATATAATCCCAAATTCTGAGTGATATACAAGACCTGAAACTACTCTGTTGAAAACAAATTGAATGTAATATCATTCTAAGAGTTACCAATAACATCTATTGAGAGCAATCATCTCTTCTCCCACTTGCTCTGGTGACAAATTGTGAGTTATTATGAGCTGTTGGGTTACATATACTATGTTTACAATGGTGCTTACGTGTCATGTACATGATATTGCCGAGTTACACTAGGGATTTTTAAAAGCAGGGTGTCAGGGATGAAATTATATGAAGGTACTGTTATCTAACATACATCCATGATCTAATGTGATGATTATATGTCAACCACTAGCCCAACCTCTTGGTATCTCAACTCAGGTGGAGTAAGGTGAAAGCATACTGACTGTGTGCTACACTGAATGATGGCTTGAGTCTATTGGCAAAGATTATAATTACTTCAAAACTAAGAGATGTATACACGCTTGCTTACATTATATTTTATCACCTGACGAAGTGTTGCAGCGGCGCATGAAACATCATGATCTTTTAGATCCTCTGTTGACCATACATTGTGAGGCAAACGAATATCACTAGCGATATCATTTTCAATACTACATCCGTAATGAGTAAAATATTTAGGACTAAGAGATGTTATTGCTCAAGTTGATTAATCAATTATTTCACGAGAGTGTTTGAGTAAGAATAAGCTCCTAGGTAGCTCCTGCAGACCTAGGGCTTTTGGTTCCTGATTTTATTCTCAATAGACCAGGTGATAACTCAATGAGTCTTGTTCTTTAACTTCATTCTCAGGAATTCATAGAGTCTTTAATAATCTGAGGTAATGACTATACTGTATCATCGCTTGATCTGTTTCGGTTGAGTTTCTGAGGGTCATATGAGGCAAGGTTTGTGAAGTCTTGGAAGACATCTTGGAAGGTTTCATCATTAGGGTTTCCCAGCTCGGAATCTTTCATCTCTTCATTCAGTTTGGAGAGTCGAAGCCTTGAAGATGAACAAGAAAAGAGAACATCCTTGTCAATCATACACTTAATGAATCTTTGATACTCTCTATGATAAAGACATAAAATTAGGCCAGAGCTGCCAACCTTGTGCAAGCAAAAAGAACCATGATGGCAAAAAAAAAAGGAATTCATTAAAACAAAACAAAACAAACACTCTTCCAATACAGAATTTCCATTCTTGATAATAATAATAGTGAACATTTATAATGCTGTTATTTTTCATATTAGGAACTACAGTTTATTTACAAGTACTGTTGGTAGTTTTTTTTGTATTATCAGCGTTTCATTCTTTTTGGGAATATTTACGCCTTTCAATTTTTTTCTTCTTTCTTTTTCGTTTACTAATTGTAAATTCCTACTCTTCATAAATCTCTATTGAAGTTTTCTTTTGAAAAAGTGATAAATAGAAGAAGAAAAATATAAAAATTATGAAGAAAAAACGTACTACCATAATTTTGAGAAAAAAAACTGAATAACTTCGGGAAAAACATACCGTAATGGTTGGCAACTCTGTTAGACCCATAAAGTCACTTCTGAATGATTTGTTTTGGATTTCACCAGGTGGGATTGTGTAGAAGTAACAACAAGAGAAAATTATGTTTTACCTGGTAAAGAAAAGTCTCCAGAGAAATTCAAAGCATAAAAGCTAGTAAGAATTCCCTTCTACAGGGCAAACAATGAATGATTCAGATGTATACTCACAATGTGACAATGTCTGCATTCGTTGTTGTGATAGCAATCTGAAGAGGATTCTGAGAAAATAAAAATACGTTGATAGGTAATTGATTTTATTGGCATCACATATATATATTTATATATTTTAATAATCCCAAATTTTTCTTTGCTGTAATCTAAAAAAAAACATACCGGTATTCTAAAATTTCTACCTTTATCATTTAATCAAGTTATTATTTATTGATCCATATTCCGGGACCCTATTTTAGATTTTAAAGATTCTCTTTGACCAAAGATGATAATTGCAATAAATTGTTTTTAAATTTTGACAAAACTAGGTATATTATTTTTCGTGCGAGAGGAAGGAGGGTTCCGTCAAATCTGTCAAACCTCATTATTGGTGGAAATGTCATAGAAAAGGTCGATAATATGCAGTTTTTAGGTGTAATTTTGAATGAATATCTTTCTTGGAAACCACATCTTAGCTCAATTTGTACAAAAATATCAAGATCTATTGGTGTTCTTTCTAAATTAAGACTTTTTGTGCCCCAGTCTATTCTGACGACTCTTTACAATAGCATTATACTCCCTCATTTCAATTACTGTAATACTGTCTGGGGTCACACCTTTAAAACCCATTTAGACAAATTATGCATTTTACAAAAGAAAGCAATACGAATTATCTTTAATGCTCCCTTCAATAGTCATACAAAACCTTTATTTTCACAATCAAATATATTACCGTTAAAGGACCTGATAACCTTGAATTCCCTTGTGTTTATGTATAAATTTCATTCGAAAATCTTGCCTCCTCTCCTTAGCGATATCTTTGTTTTGAATTCCTCAATTCATTCTTACCAAACTCGCCAAATTAATTTAATACACTTACCTCAGGTTCGTTCTTCCGTCGCCTCAAATTCATTTATAATTCATTTTCCTAAGTTATGGAACAAACTCCCCAACAATATCAGAAACAGCTCAACTCTTTCCAGATTTAAAAAGCTGAGCAGGGAAATCTTAACTTCTTTATAAAATATTCTTGATATTCTTGTTCGCTTTCATTTGTACTGCCCTCTTATACATGTAGATACAGTTTTTTGTTGCTGCTGCAGAAGTGTACTTCTCTTCTTTTTTTTTCTTTTTTATATTAATGTTCGATGTTGATATTTTTTAGTATAATTAATGTTGATCTTTTTATGTATTGGTGGCCCCTTTTTATAAGCTCTGCTTTCTCCGGGGTCACCAAACCATCATTGCATTATTCTAAACCTTGATGTAACTTATTTTGATTGTATATATATATTGATGGTTGAACAATAAATGAAATTGAAATACGTTTAACATTTTGAGAGATTCAAACCACCTATAACACTATTTAAAGGTCAATAGTATGAATATTGAAAACAGAAGGGCAACAGAAGAAAGATCACTATTTTTGTTAGCATTTAAATTCACACAACTTCAAATGACACACAGTGTTGCACATGTCATTCAAACAACTTGCAGTATGACAAATCTCAATTACTAACCAAATTAGGGAAAATTGGTGGTTTTACAATATCCCATTTTTTATATTCTATTGATAATATAAACGCTGAAGAATGCATTTACCTGCCCCTCACTATCTTTGGCCTTCTGATCTGCATTTCTCTTCAAACACAAACAAACCAGCCTGAAACAGAATCAAAACAGTCAATGTTAGACATTATAAAAGCTATGAAAATTACAGGTTGAAATGAAAAACAAAATGGTTCTAAAGAAAGCAATTAGGTATAACAAATGTCATGGTACATTTACAAGGAATTACCCATCTAGTTATGGTAACATCAATGTGCTATTTTACTAGAGTACATCTGGTATTACTTCAATTGTAAGCAAAATAAACATAAGTTCCCCAAACTAAATGTCATTATCAAATATTTTGTTAAGCTGGCATGGTCTGCCCCCCCCCTAATACTCTCTCTCAATCCCTTTCTTTGCTCCTTTCTCTTTGCCACTATCTGTCTCTGTCTGTCACTCCATCTCTCTCAATCCCCCTCTCTCTCAGTCCCTATCTCTCACTCTCTCAATCCCCCTCTCTCTCAGTCCCTATCTCTCACTCTCCCAATCCCCCTCTCTGTTCCTCCCCCTCCCCCTCTCTCTCTCTCTCTCTCTCTCTCTTTCTCTCTTCATCTCTCTCTCTCTCTCTCTCTCTCTGCATCTCTCTCTCTCTCTTTTCCTCTTCTTTTTTTTTTCTTCTCTCTCTCTTACCCTGTATTTCCCAGCATGGTAGATAAATGCAGTATTGTCCTTCCGTTTGCATCAGGTAAATTCACTTTGGCACCATTCAGTAGCAAGCATTCTACTGAAGTTAAATTTCCCTGTAATGAAGCAGGAAAAAAAAGATTTTACAACTTGGACCAAAACCACCCAATGTACAAAAAAAATAACATCTTTGAATGTGAAAACTTTCCAAAAAAGAACTGAAATGGGCGATATAAAGACATAATAAATCATAGCACCTTTGATATGTGATTGACAAGATATACATGTATACTACAAAACACAACAATCACCATTTACTGATAGTTCATGAAATTAAACTGATATATATTGAGCTTTGTATTTTATAATATCGTTGCTAATTATACAGGGCCCTCAGAAAAGCAATATTCATTAATAAAGAATTGCCACCTTGTACAAAGGAGAGTGAATGCAGAAAGAATGGATAAAAGGATAAATGGATGAAAGAAAGAATATATGGATGGAAGAAAGATTGAAAGAAAGAATAATTGGATGATAGAATGAATGAATGAGTAAATGACTAGACTAACCAATGATACAGCTTTGTGTAATGCAGTCCTCATTTCATCATTAGGATCAGGTTGGTTGATATCAGCTGAATGTGCTATAGCATTCATCATCACCTGCTCACTGTTATTACATGCTCCCTGGTCACACAAGAAAAACAAAGCAATATTAGAATTGGTAAATATTATTATTATTATCATTTTATTTGGCAAATCAAGTCACATAAATACAACAAAATAACTGTGAATGGAGACAAAATCAATAGAAAAACATACATAAAATATTTCAATAGCAGGGACATCCAGTGAAGCTGCCGGGGTATGGAAAAAGTTACCCTAATAACTATGATCCGCAGACCTCCCTCCCTATAAATATCAAATTGTTATGTACCTAGGTATAATGAAATGAGATGTGAAACCAAACCAAAGTAACCAATCAAATAACAACAGTCATGTACAGGAAGGAGTTCATATCATGCTATCAGGTATATATGTGCCAGCCAACAATGCGCATGTCATTACATCCATCTACATGAACATGACACAGGCCAATATGGCCGTCACAGCTGTGTGTTATCATTCTGTCTAATGCACAGTAGAAAATAATCATCTGGTTTCATGGCCTACATTCTTGTAGTCTACACAACAATCAAACAAATCACTAAGAAATGTAGCATCAGAATGCAGGCAGTGAAAAGCAAAGATGGAGAAATCCTTACCGAGATGAAAGATGTTAAAGAGAGATGGAAAGAAAGCTTTGAGGAACTGTACAATCACCAGAACCAAACAAATGGAGAAGCTACTAACATACCACAGATGGCCAGCCTCGACCCGGTTCCAGACATTCTGCGAGATGAAGTAGAATTTGCTGTACGAAAACTCGCAGAAGAGAAAGCACCTGGATTTGACAGCATCACAGGAGAGGAACTCAAAGCTGCTGGGTCAACAGGAATCACCATACTCCACAAATTGTGCAACAAAATATGGCGGGAAGAAACTTTTCCGGCTGACTGGGGAAAAGCCATAATAACACCAATCTACAAGAAAAAAGACAAACTCAACTGTGGAAACTACAGAGGTATTAGCCTGCTAAGCCATGCAGGGAAAGTGTTCAGCATTATCCTCCAACAAAGGATCATGAAGAAAACAGAAGAAGTGCTGTCCGAAGCACAAGCTGGATTCCGACCAGGACGTTCCACTATGGATCAATTGTTCACCCTCAGACAAATAATGGAAAAAGCGCCTTGAAAGAAATCAAAGTCTCCTATGCTGCTTCATCGATTACGAAAAGGCATTTGACTCAGTCTGGCAGGAAGGGCTGTGGAAAGCAATGAACTTCTTTGGATATTCATCAAAATACATACACCTACTTCAAGCACTCTACCAACAATCAAACAGTGCAGTCAGAGTGAATAGTGAACTGACCGACTGGTTTAAAACCACAGTTGGGGTACGCCAAGGATGTGCCCTGTCCCCACAACTTTTTAACATCTTACTCGAAGCTGTGATGCTTTACGCAATACACGACACAAAGATCGGCGTAAGAGTACAGGGACAGCTGATCAACAACCTACGATTTGCTGATGACATAGTCCTTATAGCTGATAATGACAGAGACCTCCAAACATTAGTTGACCTAGTACATCAGAACAGCTCAAACTTTGGACTGAAAATAAACATTACCAAAACAGAAGTACAAGCCATAAGCAAACAGCCTCAACTATTGAATATAAACGTTGGAGGAGAACTGCTAAAACAAGTAGATAAGTTCACGTACCTGGGAGGAACAATAAGCCAGACAGGATCCTGCTCGGAAGAGGTAAAGCACCGCATTGGGAAGGCAATAGGAGCATTCCAAGCACTCAAGAAAATCTGGGCATCAAAAGATATACGCTGCTCAACAAAGGTAGAACTGTACAAAGTCCTGGTGTTGTCTATTCTGTTATATGGTGCAGAAACATGGACATTAAAAAAGGTCGATGAAAATAGACTTCACACTTTTGAGATGGCATGCCTCAGGAGAATCATGGGTGTGACCAGATTTGACAGGCTAAGAAACACACACATACGAACACAACTGAATATGGAAGAAACCATCACCGACAGGGTTGCCACAAAAAGACTGAGATACTTTGGACATATCAACCGAATGAATTTAAAAAGATACCCCCACATCCTTCTCAACGGAAATGTGCATGGCAAACGCCCAAGGGGAAGACCAGCTAAGAGATGGACAGACTGCATCACGGCGGACTGCAAAAACAGACAAATTGACTCCCTGACTAAAGCCACTAGGCTAACAGAAGACAGGAAGGTGTGGCAAGCCATAGTGAAACAGAAGCCATCATACACCCCAGTGATGGTGTGGACGGCTTAAGTCAAGTAAGTCAATTCTTGAATGAACGCTATAAAATACAATACAATAAAGTCATTTCTATTGCGCTCTTACAAACTAACTGTTTTTTATAAATATAATGCTTCCTGGGAGAAATTTCAATAGTTTAAACTATGAGGAGCACATGCATGGAAAGCATTGTCACCAGCTTTGGTGTATGTTTGAGGAATGTGTAGCAGTAGATGGCAGGTTCAAATCCCGCTGGTTCCAAGATTTTTTTTTCAATTACAGAATCAATCAATCTTATTTACTGGGTGTAAGCCACAAACTAACTGTTGTTTCACAGCGCTTTACATAAAACGTATCAAAGAAGTTGATGATCATGGTCAAAGAGGAGAGTTTTCAGACATTTTCAGAAGACATCCAGCAAGGTGATAATCGAATAAAACGCGGAAGCTCATTCCAGAGTCAAGGAGCACATGCATGGAAAGCATTGTCGCCAGCTTTGGTGTATATTCGAGGAATGTGTAGCAGGTCTGACTTACCAGATAGAGTAGTTCCTGTGCTGTGATAGGGTCCCCTAATGAAGGTGATGTAGGTACTTCTAATTCTCCTTCTGAGCTGTCACTAGTAACAAGACCTACATAAACAATGAACAGTTAAACGTTAAATGTTATTGTCTTTAATGTCATGCTAACAAAAAAGAAAAAAAGGATGAAATATACATTCGTCTCCCTAATCCAACTGCATGCAAAATAACAATCAAATGAAAACAGGTAAATTCATGTTAAACCTTGAATGTTGTGTGAAGGAATACAGAGTACCGAAATGCTAACGTTATATTCGCTCGTCGTTTCGGTTACTGGTTCCAACAACAGAGCTTGGCATGAGGTTCACTGTGACATCATTCAAGCAACGGGCTGTAGCAGAACAATTTCAGTGTTTGGCACTGGTGTGATCACCACGCCATTGTTTAGCACAAAATTGTTTGGAATCAGCAACCTTGACAACTTGGCTAATATGACGTCACACTCCACTGAACGATTCAGCTACATCAATACCTCGCCATCAGTCGAGTAGCCAGGGGACTCAAACTCAAGTATTTACTTCCCATTTCTTCCCTACAGGTACCCATTTACCTGACCTGAGGGAGTTTAAAATTGAAAATGAATGTTTGCTCAAGATATACATTTCTCTTCATGACATCTTCTTTTCATTCTCCTTTGATTCTAAGGTTCTTCCAAAGAGTATTATAACATTTGGAACTAAATGAATGAGGCCTTCAAAGTGTCTGGATGCAGAAAATATGTTCAGATGTCTCAGAGTCAGCCAGTATCCTAATTTTAATATTATTTTCAGTGTTTTATTGTTGTTGTATCACAACAAGATGATTATTTCAATAAACCTTTCCTGCACCTCTAATACTCAAAGCAGTTGTTGTTCCGTTAGACCCCCACCTCCATTTTTATTCACAACTAACAGTGTGGCAGTACATGACAGCCTTTTCCTTCTGCATATCATTTCATCATTCTATCCTTCCTTCTGTCAATCATTCTTACCTTCTTCGTCATGTGTATCGGGTGGTATCTTGTCTATGCTGCCTCCACTGTCACTTGACACACCTACTGGAGAAAACAATCAAACATTTCAGCTTACATCAATACTAAATGGAATATAATCATGTATCCAGGACTATAACACGGGTTGTGCATGTTTTTAATTTACAATTAATACATTCTTATCAGGGACCCATATGAAATACAAATTATATCCACATTGCTTGAAACTATTTTTATATATTGTGGTGGTGGTTATTTTACCTGACTGCTAAGAAAGCATAATGCTTGTTAGAGTAAGCAACCAGACGGCCGACGGCTTTAGGTCTTCTACGAGGGACCTGGTATTGAGGGTTAATGCCTTACCAAAGGGCACTAGCGCATCGACTTGGTTTCGAACCCGGGTCACCGGATTACGAGACCACTGCTCTACCAACTGAGCTATCGCGCCTCCACCGATATATGATGTCATAGATATCAATGAACCAAGATGTGACAGTCAAAAGTGTGAAAGATTAAACTAAAATGAATGTGCAGTTTTGTATCAATTACCAATTCAAAATTTCAGAATACTAAATTGAACTTAGTACATGCATGAAATTAGGTTGTTGTAATTTTGAAGTTAGAGCCTAGCAATGTTTAGATGTATTTAAATACAGTCCGACCTGTCTTTAGAGACTGTGAGGTAAATGGGTACCTGGTAGGATTATTCCTTGAAATGCACTGTGCACTGATAACTGCTGCCGGAGCTAAAGCTAGTAAGGGTAATAATTTCCAAATCTCTTTGGAAGCGCATAGAGATGTTATCTCATGAGGTATTATGGGCTATAAAAGAACTGAACTATTATTATTATTATATACCTTTTCCGATGCCATTCCGAACATCTCCACTCTCTTCATCATCCCCCAATGCACCATCACTGCTCCTGCTTCCGAGTGACATCTGATCAGCTGATGCAAGATGGCTCTGGCTTGGTGTCTTCCCTGCTCTTCTTCTTCTTCTCTTCCCGACAGGCTTGGTCAATCTCTTGGCAAGGAACTGGTGCTGGGCATATTTGGCTTTGATCCAACTCTCCCGAACATTACTAAGAAGAGAGAAAAGAAGACAGTGATATTGTTTATCATGGCAGCATTTGTGGGACATCTTCACTTGATTTTGACCTTCAAGTAGCATAAAAGATACATGTGGAAAATCTAGACAGAATATATATATATATACCGGTACACCATTATGACAATATCGGCAGGCTCTACTTTTGAGGGGTTGCAAACTTATTGGACTTACAGAAGCATATTAGGATTGTCTACAAATGAGGGCAATATAATTCTACAGTTAATATATTCCTATCATGACAAAGACAATATTTATGAATATTTTCAAAAATGCTGTGAATGTGATGTGTGTTAACATATAAACAAAATTTAAATTTTTTTTTACCAATGGCTCCAAAGAGGTAAGCTACAATGAAAGCATACTAGAAAAAATGGTATTTTGAATTTCACAACCAGTCCAGGGGAGTGTTTCACAAAGACTAAGATCGTCTTTCAGTTGAACTTGACTATGGCAGGCCGTTCATGCCACTAGTTGCTCTCACCATTGGTCTCTCAATTATGATCTTAAGATAATTTTTTTTTTTCTACAATAATAAACTATCGAAAAATGTAAATTCTGTAGATTTGTGACCACGATTTATACGTCCCTTTAGAGATCAATGCCAGTAAATGGTAAGAGCAAACAGTGGCACGGAAGGTCTGCTATAGTTAAGTCCAACTTAGAGTTAAGTTTGATTTAGGATCTTTGTGAAACACCCCCAGGCCTGTTCTGTGTTTATGAACACTGATAAGACTCACCTATTGCATCCTGGGGATGGATGAACCAGAGACAGATCACTCAGATCAGCTTCATAGATCCTGTTCATTATTGTGTTCCCAAGCTTCAACATTACCTGATTGACATAACATACAACATGCAAAATATAATTGATCAGCATGGTATTAAAGACCGTCAACACTACTGGGCCAGAAGGGATAAGACCACACAGCAAGGTCACTGACAGGTGGCTATCTCATTATCTCAGCTCTCAACTAACATAAGAAAAAGAGGATCATTGGGGACCAACAGGCACCGATTGGGTAAGTTTTCTATATAGAGGGAGCAAGTAGCTACAAGTAGGACAGTGGGGCTTTAATTTAAAATTTCTTCACTTTATTCCATAATTGTTTAGTTCACCTGTTGGTGATTGGTTTGTTCTTTCTTTAGTTCATAGGCTGTTTCATTCATCCATCCATCTATCTATTGATTGATTGATCTATTGATTAATTCCTTCATTCCTTATTTTATCAAATTATTTCCAATCCAATCCAATCAAAAAGATTTTTGATATAGTGCCTTTTCCTTGCAGTTACAAAGCGCTGCACGCACGCTTCAAAAATTTTGGGCCACTTAAAAACAAAAGTTAGACACATCTCAGAGATCTGAGAATTCTCTCCCAAACTCATGACATTGTATATCCAATACTGAAACATTCATATTTAATTTTGAAACTCCTTTTTTCTTCAAATTAGCATATCAATAGTACTAAAGGATAAGTAATTTTGTAATTTTTCTTTTTGTAAGAACTTCATTGTTTTCTATATATGTTTCTGTTTCCTTTTATGATCTTGTTATACTTTTTGTTCAAGTTCAAGTTTTATTTGTTCCATATTTATGAACATGTCTCAATGATTCTCAATTCATATAATAGAATGTGAGGAACCTTTTATATATGTATATTGCAAAGCGCATTGAAATGTCAATAGACATGAAATTCGCTATAAAAGAACAAAGTATTATCATTATTATTATTCTTATTGACTCTGAAGATCTTACCTGATACGTTTCTGGTTCCCATTGGTCAAGCAGCAGTGACCTGACCTTTGAGATGTGGACACCCAGACTACGATGGACACCAGAACATTCAATACACAATGTGATACCAAGGTTAATGCTTGCCCACTTAGGATCTGTGCAGGAAAAACATCAAGAAAGAAATTTAATATGGACTTGTGGGAAACTAAGAGGAAGAGTAAAAGTGAAATTGTATATATCTGGATGCAACTTACCACCCCCCCCCCCCCACCAATGAAATGAAATCAAATACAAATCAAATATTTTTAAAAGATGACTTAAAAACCACTGAATAAAGACAAAAGCCAAGGAAGAGATTTATTACTATTCAAGTCTTTCATTTCGTGGAAAGATGAAAGTGAATAAAAGTGAACTAAACAGATGAGACCAATTTTTTAATTAGAATCTTTTATAAATCAATAATTAAAAGTAACATTAAAAGAATTTATGGAGCTACATGTGAGTTTCAACAAATAGTTTTAAAAAACTTAGATGTCTAGAAATAAGAAATAATTGACAAGGTATCATACTGTCAGCTTTGCAGTCGCAGCATTTCTCATTGCCTGGCATTGCCATGATCTCAGCTTTGACTCCATCTTTCTTCGATTCACTGATGAGCTGGCTAGTGGTAGATGGTGATGCATTGTTCACATTGCTCACATCCTAGTAGATCAGACAATCAAAACAAAAACATGAAAATTAAATTGATATAACCAACCCTACCTAACTCTAACCCATTACCTTGGATCCATCTATTTAATCATCCATAGTTATGTACATCGTTTTCTATTGATAAATGTTATATTGTATTTTCTATCCATTTGTATTTTCACTGTATTTTCACTGTCAAAAAAGCCATTGGAAGCAAATTTCTATGTAATGTTTGCATGCATGGACCAATAAAATAATCTTGAATCTTGAATATTGAATAGCTATGATATCAGCTCTGAAACATAAAACCACCTGTCTCAGAAAAATAGTGAGGGGGGTGGTGGCAAATCAGTAGATGGTATGGATATCAAAACTGATTTTTTTTTTTTTTTTTTTTTTTTTTTTTTGTTTATAAGAGACAAGGACGCTGAATATAATTTGAAAACAAAAACAAAAACAAAATTGAAACTGATTTAAAATGCTTGTGTACATTGTCCTTCAAGTAGGACCGCCAAAACCTATCAAAAGGTTTTCAGACTCCTTGCTAAATGCAACTGTACATGATTATGCATGATAATAAAGCGCACATTGGGAAAGCATCAATTATGGGCTAAGCCATGTAAAACAATATCTCCCATGTATGCATCTTCAGAGGCTTCCAAAGCCCAACTCTGGATTAAAAACAGTGTGCTACAGGAAGAATGGTACAGATTAGAGTCTTACCTCGCCATCCAAGGCAACAGGTGGTGACTTAGTTACAGGACTGTTGAAAGCTGAGTTAATACCTGCTTGTAAAGCTTGAACCCAAGCATGACGGATGTTATCATTGTCTGCTTGAAGCACTGTAGTTCTAAAGTACAACAAAAAGAAGAAGACAAATCTTATTACCTGCAAGTTTGAGGACGACAAACATAATCCCCCTCCCCGCTTACACATGCAAACATTGACACAAATTGGATTGAAGTGTTTGAGGAACATGTATTGAGGTCTGACAATAATAAAACATAAAATCACATAGAATCAAACACTTTTACAACAAATCCTCAAACTAGAAAATAGTGATGCATGTCCACAGCTTTTGAAAGAAACTTTAAACAAGTAGCAGATTAGTAATAACCGATGAAACATCAGAAAGTAAAGCAACACATTCAGAAAAACATGAATTAAGATTTTGTAGGACTGGTGTAAATGTGAGTTGTGTTTTTCACTACATGTGGTTTCCAGCAAGTTCATGTTACTTGTTTAAGTTACGATTATGTTTTGCTGGACTAAAAACAACAAACTCTCTGGTATGAAACTCAAAATATATCTCAAAATAGATTCCCATTTAATACTCAAGATTAACTTTAGTGACATTAACAGAGTTGGAAAGTGAAAGAAAGAAGGATGGTGACTTACTTGCCAGGGGAGACTATTTCAAAGCAGAATCTTCTATCTATCTCATCTAGAGGTTTCACATTGCACAGCCGAAGATCATCAGATGCTACGCTAACCTGCTGACCCTGGTATATAGACAAATTGATAAAAACATCCATTACACTTTACCATTACTGAAATTGAAAATCTAAATAAATATACAACATATCAAGGGTTCAGTGACACAAAGATGTAACTCCATATTTTGCCAAAAGGAGTATTTGATATCAAAATGTTCAGAAAAATGTGGGCTTTCCAGGAAACACAAAGACTTAACTCCACCCAACACCCCATTGAAGTCAATGGCTAGTGAAACATAGACTTAACTCCTTAAGGTCCAAGTGCTCAGTGACACATAAACCACTTTTTCTCAAAATAGTTATGTCTTTGTGTCACTGACCCCTCAATATATTTCTATATGCCATAATATGCCAAACTGTACATCAAAATTTTACATGAGATTATTTAGCGATAGTCTTCAGTTTATAAATGAACCCCACTTCCTTCCCGCACCCACTCGCCCCCACCTCTAAGAACAAGTCCATTTTTTTTTTAAAGCCCATCTGTACTAGTTTGGCCAGGAGGGATTAGACCACTTAGCATGGTCACTGACAGGTGGCTATCTCATCAACTCAGCTCTCAATTAATATAAGAAAAAGAGGATCATGGGGGACCAATAGGCACTGCTTAGGCATTGTTTTCTATATAGAGGGAGCAAGTAGCTACAAGTAGTGGAGTGGGGCTTGAATACAAGTCTATGCTTACCTTTGATCTCTTCTGATATATGAGCTGGTTATCCTGTATCGTGAACCACCGTCTGACAAAACAAACGACATAGAAAGAGAACAGATTATACTCTATTTTAACCTTGTAGATATATATTAATTTTCCACTTAGAGTGTAGATATTTTCTTCTAAAAATTATATTAAGTCTCTTGTTTGGAGTCCCAGATAAAGATGTAGCAAAACTCCAAAGAATTCAGCAGCAATACTTGTTTCCAGATCCAAAAAGCACAACCACATCACGTCCATCCTCAAAGAACTTCACAGGCTGCCCATTAAATCCTGAATCCACTTCGAAGTCCTACTTTTAATCTTCAATGGCATCCACGGTCTCGTTCCTCACTTCATTTCTGAACTACATGTATTATCCTCATATAACCCTTTAAAATCACTTAGGTCCTCCACCCAACAACTTCTGCAAGTACCATGACAGAGATCAAAGACGTAAAGTGAAAGTTCTTTTGCCTACAGCGGCCCAACCCTTTTGAACTCTCTACCAAGTGCAGGAAAACTGAAGGGCAATTCTGTGAATGCATCCCATGAAATATATATATTTCATTTTAGTAATTCATAAAAGAATTAGAGATAAATCCATTTATACAACTCACTCCCAGATCCTAATCAAATGATTGGTCATGCGCGGTCACGTGTGATTCATTTACTGAGCCTATTGCACTCGTTTTCATGAAAAGGAGTGCCATATTTTCTAGTACTATTGAACTCGTTTTCAGAGCTTGGTAGTGCGCATAGAGGTTAGAGCGCTTAATACTGCGTGAGCATGAGCCTATTCTTGCGCAGCACTATGCGTAAATGGGTATAGAGGTAATTAGTGCGCTTGCTATATCTATAGCTATGTGTGCGCACTAAATAAAGCCTTATTAAACTTGAGATTTATTTGTCAGCCATATACTGTCACGAAACAATCTTGAATGAATTCTTTTTACATCAAATAACAAGGATCTAGGAGTTTTGTTGTATAAAACAAATGATGCATGTTTTCATTCGTTCATTATACGATCTATCCGCCCTCGTTGATGCTGTGTGTATCTATCGCACTCAGCCTAACGGCTTCGTGCGATAGATACACACAGCCTCAACTCGAGTGCGAATAGATCGTATAATGAACTCATGCGCATGCATCATTTGTATAATAACCACTTTTTGTTTTAATATCAATTTAAAGTCATCACAAGATTATTTTCTTTGATTACGTTACATGTGTAGAGTCAGTCAGTAGGGCTAGAAGTCTTGTTCCACAGATTTGTAAGATATAAACAGAATCAACATGGAGTCTACAACTGGACATCATCCAGCCAGCTGAATTTCCTGTTTACATGTCTAGCTTATCAAGAAACACAGTTCACCTGCTACTTGTACTATATTATCCATGACATTTGGAAATATGTTTAAAGATAAAGTTGAGTTCTGGTCATGCGATTGCATTGTGAAAGAAACGTTGTGAAATCGATCAGAAAAGGTTGATCATCTAGCATATAAGTATTAGTGTGTACTGCAAGGTTCTGGAATCATCAAAATGATAAGAACTTTGGCTTAGTCTTGGTAAAGTTACAAGGACTGTACACATAAAGATGTATATGGGACTATATGAACATGTAGCATAAAAATCTGTCCTGATTTTTACGAAGTTACATGCCATATTTAGAATATTAAGGCATTTGAAGAGCCATGCTTTTCTGGGAACATTTTTATCTGATGTTCTTCCACGCTTGCATTATACAATGACAACGCTCACCAATTATTTTTCACCTCTTCCCAGAACTCAACCTTCTCTTTATCAACTTTATAGTATATGGAGGATGTAAAGTAAGAAACATGATGTTAAATGTCTGTACTACATTGCTTATCTAATAACATAATGATAAGATAGACAGCCATAAGCTCATCATAAGAACATATATAACATTAAGGCATGGTATATATATATATATATATATATATGTAAAGCTATATTTCTTACTTTGTTGACCATTGAATTCTCTCCTTGGCTTGGTGCCTGTAATGTATATAATTATGTGCTATGCTATATGTGTGATTTATTTTCCTTTTTGTTATTGTATTTATTAATTTTTCTTATATTGAAAAAAATTCACTTGTGTTATTTTTGCTTGTGGCTCTCTAATCATTGAGAAACACTTACACATTAACAATCCTAAAATGTCAAGTATGTGGACCTACATACCTGTGCCATGTTTTGAATGCATTTGTGGCTCGTTTGTAGAGATAGCCTTCCATGATTGGTTTCTTAGTCGGGTCAAAGGTCATATTCCACAAGGTATCCTGTAACAGCAATATAGATAAGGCATACACGGTTACAGGTCATAATCTAACACCTAAATGTACAATTAGGTTACATAAACCAGACAGAATGAGGAATATGATATTACACATTAAACATACATGTACATACATGTACATGTACATTGTACATGCATCATTTGTTCTGGATGTTTATTCTTTATAATAGGACAAATGTGCAAATATATATATATATATATATATATATATATATATATATATATATATATATTGGTGTGTGATACATAAACTATACTTGAACATGTACACATGGAATTTTCAATAAAAGATGCTGAGATCAAAATTCAAACAATGGAAACTGAATGAACTAGGTGCTAAACTGTATTTACATTTATCTGAAGGTTTATTCCAAAGGTTAGTTCATCTAAAGGTTTATTAATCAACATTTTTGTTATTCAAAAGTAAAATACATATAAATAATCTTCCAAAAATGAAATAAATTCATTTTAATCTTACCATTTCTTGAACAAGTGAGTGCCTATCTTCCATCTTTCTCTTTTCAGTGCTAGCCTTGGTGTTCATTCCCTGCAGCTACAAATAGGATACGAGAATAAATAAGAAACGAAAATAAATAACAATCTTTCTCTGTTCATTCCCTACAGCTACAAATAGGAACAAGAATACATAGTACTAGATAAGGAACATAGGGTGTATTAATATGGAGCCATGAGTAATTGAAGCCAGGGAGTAACCCATTGTACAGTCCACAGGTTACATCAATATATATTATGGGCATCTAACTAATATAAAATGAAAGAATACAAACAGGATGACAGGGACAAACTATTAAATCATTTTTTAATGATACAAAGTACTAGAGAAACCAAGAGTTGCCAAGACAGGATCTTGTTGATAAAAAAAAACCCATCTTTGAATTCAATAAATCATTACTGTACATGTATTCATCATTATGAAACAAAAACTGATTTAGTTCATGAGATTATGAGATGTGTCCCATTGATGGAGCATGTGTTGTAAATGTTATATATTGATAATGATGTCATACCATGAGTTGCAATTGTAAAGCTGCGCCGTACAAAATAAACTTGCTTTGGAATCTTATACAATGTACCAAGAGTATCAAACGTGTGCTAATTATCTGACTCTAGTATTCATCTGTGCACATGTACCTTCTAGTTTAAAGGTACTATGTCCCTTTTGCAGCCAACCTCAAATGCCATGTAGAACTTTGCAGGAATTATGAATATGTCATGTATGTCCTATCTGTGAAATTTAAACGTTAGCAGTGTCCTCATATTCAAATTGTGCAAGGAAACCTGTTTACTTGCTAGACTTCACTGTCAGACTCTATTGAGTGACTGACTGGCTTTTTTTCTTCTTTGGTAATAATATACATGAAAAGAGTTGTAAAGGGTACATGAGCATTTGTCTACATCAATAACCCACTTCTTGTGATGGCCAAGATTAAACTGATTGAATCTTTGCACAGCATAAAACGTATGACCATTCGGTGCAATTGTCTGAAAATCAAGACTATTACTTTTGGGCTCTATAGCCCTAAAGTTGATTTGACAACTAATAGTTGTTATTTTCCCACTTGAAGACATTTTCAAGCCCCACCTTTTTTAGGGAAGTTCTAAATGAGTATTATCTTTCAAATGCAGTTGGAATTTAACTTTTTCATTTTTTTTTGGCCTGCAAATGGGACATATATGTAGTACCTTTAAGAGTATGTACATTTGGTAAAGTTTCTATTTGTAGCTAATTAAAATATGAAAGTACACAATACTACACATATATTTTCAAGTTAGTCCACCAAATGTGTTTGATTCATATTACTCTTTCTATTCCATTTGTAAATGTACATACATGTTAACTAGGAAACTGATGCATCACAAGTACAAACTATAACTCCCACATCAAGTTTAACTCACACATTAAATGATAAACACAATTTCCTTCAAATGATAAAAATTATACAATACATAATACAGTAAGTACACATATTTTTGTCTTCACAGCCCTGTAAGTCTCAAGATTATCAAAATGTAAAAAACTTCTGTAACTTTAAGACTGTGTAGTATCACATTTCACCTTGAATTATTTCAACATAGTATCTTTTTATCACCATATACTTTTATGTAATTTATCATTAATAATTGTTCTAATACTCTTTCAGTAGAGACTGCCTGTAGATGTATGATGAACAGTAACAATATCCACATAAACTGTACTGTGTACTTGTATGCAAGCAATGCCAGACTGGACATCCAGGAAATATCCTTTGCAGGGTACAAACTACATGTCAATGTATAGCAGATGTAAATATCAATGCAATAGGTCTGCCAACAGACAAATTGGCACATGTACAAATTGAATACATCCATTGCACACCATCGTACCTCCCCATTCAAAATCACTTTGACTTGTGGTTCGAAAATTCTTTCAAATCTGTGTTTATATCATACATATATCATATGTGTAATACCCGTAGAACAAGTCTTCTACACTACCATACATGCCAACATTTGAAAATCAGAAATCTGTACAAATTATGCTATTTTCAAAAAAAAGAGGAACAATCCTAACTCTCCTATTCAATACTACAGACAAATTTGTACAGGAAGAGGAACACCTGCATTAAAATGATAATTATTTTCTCCCAAAAAGAGGAATGTTCCTCTTTAATCTGAACAGTTGGCATGTATGCACTACTCCTTATTGAGTATGTTATAGAGACAAAGACATGGGCCCTGTATTAGTAGTAGTTGAAAATGATCCATATCAATCGCAAGTTTGCAGTCCCCTATCGCTATAGTTGTGATTGATTTTGATTGCTACTTATTTGCTTTATACTTCATTTCAACTCTTTATTAGACATAGCCTTGGAAAGAGGGGGTGGGGGGGGGGGGTGGGGTGGGACACTAGTTGTGATCATACAATACATGTAGGCATTGCTTTGAACACTGGTGGAATATTCATTATAGACCTATCAGAAGTCCATTACTTTATTTCTTGTAGTTAAGTGACTATATGTATCTGTGTGATGATGATGATGATCCAGGTGTTGTAGTTTGATGCCAAAACTTTTCATACAAATCAGAGAAAGTGCCAAAGCAGAAGTACTTAAAGCTAATATTTTACATACAATACCATAGATGTTCATTTTATATTCTAGCATTTTCTCGCTGCTACATGTACATGTACATGCCTAAATAGCTTCCACCCTGCAGTTAAGGTCCCTAGGCAGCTAGTGCCTGAGCAGTTGTTTCAGTCTTTGTCCCAGTTCAGTCTATGATGTGACAGATTGGTGCAAAGTATATCTGACTCATATCCTTAAAAATAATAATAAACCTGTCTTAATTCTGCAGCTTGTTTGCATTTGTTAAAGTCTGTACAAAGTTGTACAATGATCATCAACAACAGAACACCAAACAGAATAGCACTAAATACAAGGGAGAGTCCCTAAAGAAAAAGCATGTTTATATTATACTTTTCCAAATGAATGATCCATGTATAAATGAAAGACTTCACCAAACCACTTTTAAATCCTGAAATCCACAGTTGAATAAACACATTCGACTTCCAACCATACTATACCCTGGAGAAAGTTTTAAAAGTAAAATGAACTCCTAATTTTCGACCCCGGATACAACCTCAATTCTAAATTTAACATAAAATCCAGTATTAACATCACTATAATAATAATAATAGCAATAATAATACTAGTTCTTATATAGCTCTTTTTAGGACCAAAGGCCCTCTCAAAGCACTTAAACAGATATAAACATCCCTAACCCCATATCTTTGATAAAAATCAAAGCTTGAAGCAAATTGGATTGAATTCTGTACATCATCACATTGAGTTCTTACCTGGGGAATCATGGCAAGTCCAAGACAACGGAACATTGTGGCACAAGAGCACGCCTGGCAATCTTTTACTTTGCTTCTCATGAATCGTCTGTCAGGTATTCAAACACACGATGACCAATGGAATTTCAAACTCAAGAAGACCAGTGGAATCTCAAACTCAAGAAGACCAGTGGAATCTCAAACTCAAGAAGACCAATGGAATCTCAAACTCAAGAAGACCAATGGAATCTCAAACTCAAGAAGACCAATGGAATCTCAAACTCAAGAAGACCAATGGAATCTCGAACTCAAGAAGACCAATGGAATCTCAAACTCAAGAAGATCAATGGGATCTCAAACTCAAGAAGGCCAATGGAATCTCAAACTCAAGAAGACCAATGGAATCTCAAACTCAAGATGACCAATGGAATCTCAAACTCAAAAAGGCCAATGGGATCTCAAACTCAAGAAGACCAATGGAATCTCAAACTCAAGAAGACCAATGGGATCTCAAACTCAAGAAGACCAATGGGATCTCAAACTCAAGAAAACCAATGGGATCTTAAACTCAAGAAGACCAATGGAATCTCAAACTCAAGAAGACCAATGGAATCTCAAACTCAAGAAGACCAATGGAATCTCAAACTCAAGAAGACCAAGGAATCTCAAACTCAAGAAGACCAATGGAATCTAGCGAGACAAGCATCCGATCACTGCAAAGTCTCACTCAATAAAACTGGCTCAAAGCCCAACACCAAGGATGCTGCTTGCAAGCAGTTGTACTTCTTGGCTTCCTTAATATTTCCTCAATTGTTAGTGGATGTCAGCTTTTCCAAAAGATCCCTTGTACTGTAATGATGTCTTTCCTTCCTCGTGAAGGATCTTAGACGGATCAATGAATCAAGATATTCTTTGAATTGCAAACAAGTTGAACAGGTGTGTCAAAACAATCCCACACACAAAATGGAAGTATGATGAATGCAGTTTTCAGAACTTTTGTAAATAACATCATCAAGTGCAGCTCATAAGCTCAAGATGTTATGTTCCTTGTCACCCAGTTTTGAAACCCTATGAAGAGGAATAACTAGACCATCTGGAACAAAGTTAGTCTTTCTTCATTTACAACACTCAAAAGCTTTGACAAGTTGTTGCGTTTATGACAAACACGTGTGCTTTTCCCAAATATCCTTTGCTTTCATTTGAAAACACTCAATAACTGCACGCTGACACTTTAGGAATAAATTGCAGAACTTTGCAGGAAAAGAAGATGACTGATTGGTATGAAGAAGAGGGTGCTTTCAATACAAGAATGTAGACTGCAATGCTGGATATTTATCTTTTTCTTTTTGAGACTGTATGAATATTAAGTGACGATTAATCAGCTGTGGACAAGAATTCTTTCCCATAAAATCATAAGTGGTTTTCACAACAAAAACAATCTTCACAATCTTGCCCTTTGCAGAGTATTCACATGAAGACTCTCAAACCTCTTGTGAAACAAAGGAACTACACTGACGATGAGAGGGAAGTATTAGAATTCAATGCCTCTGGATGGTCATCAGATCAAAACAAAAATTATTTCTTCCGGTGCTAGTCTTCAGAGGTTCCCACAACGATTAAATTACTTAGAAACAAAACTTTAATGATTCATTCAAGTATCATTCATACATTTCTACATTTCATTTCTTGAATTGTCAAACTTTGGAACAAACATCTTG